GAGGACTGCCACAACCACCCGTGTCTCAGAGCTGATGTGCCAGCCCCATGGCAGAGGCAGGATGCCGTGCAGGGAGATCAAAGAGGAGAGCTGAAATGAAAAGATGACTAGCAGCAGTGGGGAAAAATTCTTCAATTCCAGTATGAAGTTTCCTCCTCTCTTTCAAATTGGTGCACCATTGAGGACATGCATAAGCCACATGTTAAAGGTGTTAGAGGGATGAATGTGGAGCACATGTGTCTGCCTGAGCCTTTACCTCACGGGTGGACTGACTGGAGGGAAGGATAAGCACCCTGGGATCTCCTAATCACAAGATATCAGATGCTTTGCTTAGGTTTCTCTAGTGGACTGTCTATACACTAGAGTTGGATTATTTTCTTCTATTGATTCAACTCCTTGAGCTAAATACCACCTTCCATAACAAATGACCCAGGGACTGTTAACAGCTGGAGGCAAAACTTGAAGCTTACCAATGTCTTTTGCAAAAGATAAGCAGACTCTGTTACCAATTTCTGGGAAAAGTGAATAAAGAAATCCCTGAATGATTATTCTGCTGACCTCAATATATCTTCTGGGAAGAACTTCCTAAAGCCAAAGAACTAAGGCTACAGAAGAGAAGACATTAACCAGGCTAGTGATTTAGTTCTCTTTAGGGAGACAATATTGCTGGTTGGTTTTTTTATTTTTTAGTTCCACTCCCCACCCCCCCATAGTAGACCCAATCAATATTACATTTCCAATTTAGGATAAAAAGAAATTCACACAGCAGAAAGAAGGAAATAATGCTGGTGATGCCTTACTATTCCCATGTCATAACCAAGGGAGTATTACTGTACTGGAAGAGCTGTTCTGTGTTGCAGCCTTGTGTTCACAACGCTAGGGAGAAGTTTCATGGACAGCTGGGGGTTTGGTACAGCTGTAGTGTATTGATTCAAAGAATTAGGGATACTTGATGAGAAGACAAAGAAGAAACACTTCCCATCAGGATTAATGGAGAGAAACTGGCTTCATTTGCTACAGCTCATTACAGAAAATTAGCAATGACAAATCATGTATGGCTGTGAGGGGCAGGGTGTTCTTTTCACCTTTTTTTATCTCATTTAATAAAATCAAGTGGCACAATGCTGACCAAATGACAGCACTGCGAGCCAAGACAAGCAGTGCCTGATACCTGGTGCTGGATGGGTTTCTTTGGGTTTTCCTTTCTGCAGAGGAGGATGCTCAGCACTGCAAGTGGGTGTGCTGCTTTTCATACTGGAGCGCAGTCCAAGTGCTGTGGTGCTGCCTCTGCTCCCCAGCCACCAAATGTGGTGCCAGGATCACCCTGTTCTGCCTGGTACTACATCATGAAACATGTCCCTAGCCCATTTAAGCTGCCTGCACCTGGGAGGGAAGAAATTTGGCTCATAAGCCTAAGCTCCTCCCTAGTCAGGCTGTGAACCATTTTGTAATAGCTTCAGTCTTTGCTTCGCAGGAAAGATTTACAATAAGGCCTTCCTTAGCATTTGGTTTCACTTGCCCTTTTGAGCTAAGGTCAAGATCAGAGAGTAGGTAAATGGGCTTTCCCAGCTTGCAGACACCCAGCTGTTCTGTCCTCTAACTCCATCTCTGCAGCTAAACAACAGTTTATGAAAACATTTTTTCTTTCTTTGCCATTTTTTTTAAGCCATTAAGGAAAATGCATATATTTAAGGTAAAGCACTGTGACTATTACTCAGTGCCATACGTATCATGCAGGCTGTACAAACTTGGATTGTGTTGTTTTCTGAATCAAGTGCATTACATCTGTGGTGCAGAAGGGCTTTATTCACAATTTCTGGGGAAACAAACAAAAAAAAAAAGCCAGGGTTCCTTTAACTTTGAAAGACAGTTTTGTGCTCCAATGGACAAGTACTGTCCATGCTAAAACATATTTTTTTTTTTCCTCTCTGGTGGAGAGTTCTGTTAGATGAAACAAGGAATAGGCATTAGAAATCTTTCTCCATGTAAATACTAAAGGACAGGAGCAGGTCACTTTGTGGCCTTTAGTTAGCGAGTTATCTCTACTGAACTTTGCTGGTATTCTGTTGTAAGGAAGTTAGTTTGTCCTAATCTCCAAGAGGTTCTTGTACCTCTTCTCCTGAAACCTTGCCTGCTTTTATTTTGGGGAGGCACAGCAGAGTTGGCAGTGCTCATAGACTTGTCAGTGCTGTGTGCAGATGGCAATGCCATGTTCCTGCTCTTCAATGTTGCCCACCTAAGTGAAGGAAATAGCCTGGTCAACTTGTCAGCTGCTGCTCTGGGAACTCATGTTATTGAAATTAAAGGAGTAAACTGTGATCCAAGGTTATCAGACAGTAACTAAGAACAAATAGATCTCACTGCTTGACCTTACTGTATTTGAGTCAGGACAAATAAAAGAATCCTGATACCTCTAAATTTCAGGATATGGAGGATGCATAAGGAACTTTCTGAAAGCCCACTTTAAAGCAAAAACAACAGGAAAAATTTTTAAGCTTCTAGAAATAGTGAGGCGGATGTATCACTATAACGCCTCCCAAGCCCCAAGGAGTGGAACGGGTTGGCTCTGGTACCTCTAACTCAGTCCCTGTGACACTGACTCCCAGAACAGTCATGAAGAAGCTCCTACATGCAGAACTGTGTCTGGCTCTCAGCTGCTGCCCCGAGCCTTGCCCTGGGACTGCTACTAAAAGGAAGCCTGAGAGTGGGCACAAAGCTCTGGGTTTTGGGATTGAGCTGGTAGACTTAAAATCTTGAGTCTACTTGAGAAGAAAACACAGTGGTCCTTCCTCTGGTGTTTCAAAGTCTCATTGTCAGAGAAGTAATAAATTTGAGGTTCTTATAAATTGGACTGTTACTGTGGAAAGGTCTCTTAATTTTCTATTTCTCCAGTGAGATCTATCATGCATCTCCTAGCTGTGACTGACTAGTTTAATATTCTCTTTCTTTTGCCACTTAGTATTCCTGTACAGCTGCTTATTATTACAAACTATTTGTTCAACTTTGCAGGCGATTATAAGAACAAATAGCCTAGTGATGTATTGACATTGTGCATGTCTTTGACAATGCCCCAACACCCCTTTCCCAAAGACACTGCTCTTCCAGATGAGAAAACAAGGACAGTGTGACTAAATGACATGCATTTGAAGAACTCAAACATTTCCTTACTCACTCAGCCCCAGATGTTCTTTTCCCAGGCCTCATATTCAAAACTTCATTAGAAATTTGAGAGAAATGCTTTACTGTGGCTGCTGGCTTGGCTGCTTTTCAGGTTTAGGCAGAATTTCTTATATTCACAGGCTCTTTTTTCTTTTAATTTTTTTTATACTTCTACAGAAAGTTGTATTATCATCTTTAGCAGTGCAGGAAAATATCCACATGAGCATAATATTTTAGAGTTTCTTTGTAGCATGTTAATCTCTGAGACTAACTAAAAAAACCCTCTTGGTCCCAGTCTCATTTTTAATAGGATAGTAAACTAAGAGGATACATGAGGATTATTCTAATCTCACCCTCGAGCTCTCTCCAGCACTACTGCCTATCTGGGACCCATTATTGAACTGCTTTCTCCAGTGCTCTAGAAAAGAGGCACTTATCTTGATTTAACAAGTAATGATAGCAAAAGCCTGAGCTGTCATGCTTTAGAAAGAATGGATTAGCTAATTGATTGTGAAGAAAAGAAATATTAGGCTGGAGCTAAACACCCTTTGGGGTGCTGTCCTTTCCTCCCTTTCTTATTTAGTCCCTTGAGAATATGTTTCTGCACTGGGGTGGGGGGAGGAGGCAGTTTGTGTCTGTGTTCAACACAAACTACTCTCACAAAGCACATGCAAGACACTGTTAACCATGAGTTGTTTAATCATTTTTCAGCTTTCCTGGAGCAGTCCATTCTATGTGCTTTGGAAGAGCAATGGAGCTGGTAAAGGGGCTGGAGCACAAGTCTTCCCAGAAGTAGCTGAGGGAACTGGGTTTGTTTAGCCTGGAGAAAAGGAGGCTCAGGGGGTACCTATCACTTTTTACAACTACCTGAAAGGACACTGTAGGAAGTTAGGGGTCAGTCTCTTCTCCCAGGTTAACAAGTGTTCGGACAAGAGAACATAGCCTTAAGCTGAACCAGGGGAGGTTTAGGTTGCATAGTAGGAAAAAATTCTTCATTGAAAAGGTTGTTGAGCATTGGAACAGGCTACTCTGTGACTTGGTGATGTCACCAGGGCTGGAGGTACTTAAAACGTGTAGATGTGGCACTTAGGGATGTGGTTTAGTGGTGGGCTTGGCAGTGCTGGGTGAATGGTTGGGCTCAGTCTTAAGGTCTCTAACTAAATTATTATTCCATTGTTGTGGCAGAAGATAAACCCATAAAGCTTTATATGCCTGCACACTCTTCAAACCTTTTGGGTCTGGGGTCTTGGACAGGGACAGCACCTGTCCTGGGTAGGATAGGGGCTTATTTCTGGTTATTGTTTGGAGGTGATGGGAGACCAGCCCACCTGGAAGTAAGAGTTCTAGCAAGCATGCGTGAAACTGGTCCTTGGGACACTCTACGCACCCTCCTACCTCTAATCATGGCAATGAATGTGTGTGAGGGCATGACTTTGACCTCAGATATCGCTGTAGCCAATGCAGTCGTACTTCCCTTCCCTCAACCCTTAACCATGGGTGACGAACTGAGGGAGGGCAGGCAGGATTCAGTTGCACAGCAAGACAAGAGTAAAGCTGAGACTCAAGTGCAGGTCTTACCTGTCTGTATAGTTTACTGCCTGATATTTCCTTCTCCTCTCATACTGAAAACTGCTAAATTTTTGCAGTCAGACTCTAGTGCTGAATATGACTTTAGACTATTTCCAAAAGGCATAACAGACTCCCCCAAGCAGATAAATTACTGCTGTCAACAGTATAATAATAGTCGCACACATGGTTTCTTTCTCCTTTCCTCTCCTCCACTCCCCATGATAAAATTTCTAAAATGTTGTACACTGGACAGAAGGTGAACAGACACTGGGTTAGTTAAAAACATACTTCTCTTTATTTGAAAGTTTTCTATCCACATATAAAAGGCAGTTGATACATTGCATAGTATACTTTTTTTTAAAGTATGCTTATTATCAAATGTGTCTGAGGAAAGGGATGGTTACTGGCTCTAACTTCCCACAACAAACAGTGAAGTTAATGGAATAATAAATTAAAGTAGTAGTAGTCAACATTACATATAAAACAAATGTTAACAGATACAAACATAACACGAACGATGACTGATTCAGTTTCCCTTCTCAGGAGTTCAGTGTCTTATTAGAGTGGTTACCTAAGTGGAGTTTTTATTAAAACGCAGTGGTGCTCTGAAGCTTCAAAACACAAAAGCCACACAGGTTTTTTTAATTGAATGGGAATGTCTTCAAGAAACCTTGCTAGTGAGAATGAGGGTGCTGTTTACCTGCCTCTCTGATTGTTGTTTAATATCCCTGTTGCTGAGCCCTTGCTGCTGCAAGGAGGCAGACTTCATGCTCCAGCTGTGGCTGATCCTGGCTCTAAGGCACTTCTAGGGCCTACCACCTATTTACATTGCAGGCACTAATTAGTCAAAACTCTACATACTCTGCATTGTGTGAGAGAGGAGTGTCATGGAATCTTAGTGTACTGGCCATCATCTCTGGGACTGTCCTCATTGTCCTATATAAATGCTCATTGCTGGAAACTCAGTACCTGTGCACTCTGTGGTATTAACCCACAAGGAACTTCTGTGGGTCTTAAAGAAACAGTTTTAAGAGCTCTGTCTTGTCAGTGTGCTCTCTTTCCTGTTAGCTGAACTCACGTGGGTTTCCATGAGTGCTTTCTGGCAGCTGGGGTTTCCCACTGAGCTGGTCCTGCGCATGGGCTGATTGTCAGGGTGCTGCAGGCTGCCACTCATGCTTGTTGGGCTGCCTTGAGCTGGAGACAAACACCTTGCTCATCTGTTCAGGGTTGCTTCAGAAAGTGTCAAAGCTACTAGGAGGAGGTAGGTATTGAATAGGGACTTAGAGGAAGAAACGTGTCCGGGCAGCAGCAGAGCAGCAAGAGACCTCCACTTGAAACAGGACGGGAACCCAGTAGCAGAGTCCATGCAAGCTGAAGATCCAAGGGTCTTTACAGCAACGTGGATGCTGACCCATATACTACACGAGAAGTCAGGTCTGAATTACAGGGTTGTAATTTGACCCAGAAGATCCTATGACCAGAGAAACCACCCAAGCTCTGCCCCCCTGGTTTGACAATTGTATGCTCCTGCAGGCAATTATAATCCCGTTGTATGTCTCAGCTGCCGGCACTTTTTTTCTTCCTTCCTTATGTAAGTAACATTGAGGTAGAAGTTTCAATTAATATTTAAGCACACATGAGAATGAACACAATCTTATTGGGCAAGTAGTCCAGTGACCTTTGGAATTCGCTAAAAACCTTCACAATGTGGCTATAAAATGAGTAATTGAAGTAGCAGAGAAAAGGAATTCTAAAAGTGTCAGAAAAACAGTATCAAAAAAAGTACAGCACTGAGTTGCAAGACATTTTCTTCATCTGTTGGATTTAAAACAATTCAGTGGTGTTTTGTTGGTGTTTTTTTTTTTTTTTTTTTTACTTTTCCCTCTGGAACAAATGACAGAAACAGAATTTTTTATGACATCAGAAATATACTGGTATCAAAGTAAGGGTACACAATGAGTTTTTTAAGGCATTAACTGTTTTGAACAATGATCTAAATAGAGATAATTTATAATGGTTGGCTTCAGTTGAGCATTGCTTTTATTTCCTATAAAAATACATGTTTAAGAATGTATATCTAGAAGTGTCTTGCAAAAAAATCTGCATTCCTTCTTAAGTTTATAAGGAAGATCAAAGTAATAGTAGTAACCTTTACAAGGAGACTTAAATGTCTTGTTGCTCATACAATATTTAAATGTAAGGAACACATAACAACATAGGCTTTTTTTTTTTTTTTTTTTTTTGCTTTACAACCCCTGTTAATACTAAAGCAAGTTTATACCTAAATAAAACTAGTTAAACTACTGCTATAGGGGCTGCTGTTAGTTACCTCCACTGTACTTAATACCACAGAGTAAATGAGATCCAAATTTCAGTTGAAAGAACTTGGTTAGCTTGAATTTCATCCTATTGATTTAATTATTGGCAGGAATGTGAAAATACATTCAGTGTAAGAAAGCTGTTTAAAGCCAAAGGGAAAAAAAAAGTTCTTATTATTCTTACAGCTATTTTCCAAGAACTACTAGCTGTTCCAGCTTTAATGCTGCATTTTTAAATCAGGGGAAAAAAAATATCCATGAGAGAGATACTGTTTATGAGTCTTGAAGGAGAACATTTCACTGACATTAAAGGCAACTTTGCAGACTCACTTGAAATGTATCAATTTGTAATCTACACATTTACAGGAGCTGCTCTGCTCTGAAAGCTGTTTCCCAATCTGTGCCAAAACATGTGAGGCTGCCTAGGATACTTCTGATGATAGACCTTCAGGCTCTATTTCTCCATAATTGATTTAGTTATTAGTTATGCAGGGGAGAGAAGAGATCCCTGAGGCTTAGTAAAACAGTATTCAGTTACTAAAAGCAGCCCTTTGTGAATTAATGTTATCCTACCAGCACTTTCTGCTCATTATTCTTTCAAGTCTTGTTTTCCTGGACACCAGCTGTCACAGAGGAAGTCTCCAGCCTTTTCTTCTCCTGCCTCCTTGGCCGACTGAAGTTGCACGAGCACGGTCTGGAGTGTCTCCTTCACTACCTGGATCTCCCTCTGCAGAGACTGTGCAAGCTTTATTAAGGAATAATCTATAGGTGATTGGCAGTCCCTGTTCTTTTTCCAAGTTATTAAGTAAATTCTTGTTCTGCTGCTCACGACAGATGGCCATGGCTATCTAATTGTAGCTTCAGCTTCTTCCAAATTGTTTGGATTAAACATTAATACATTTCTCACACTTGCTTTCAAAAGAAAAATCCAGGCAAGCTCAAGTTCTCAAGTAGCATTATTTAGCACTTTAAAAAAGGGAGGGGATGGGGGATATTGTTTTCATTGGAAGGAAGGAGATAAAGAAATTTTACCATGGAGACAGCAGCATGAGCTGTGAGCTCGATGAGCTGTGAGCTGGGTGAAGGGTGGATTTTTAAGACAGAGATACAGACCTGGGTGGATCAGACTCCAGCTGAAGGCAACAGGGCAGTGAGAACAGTCTGAGAAGTAAGCCAAGTGACTGCAGCTTGTGTGGCATCAGTGAGCTTAGCAGCATGTGCTATGCAAGGCAGGGTGGGAACCTAGGTAGGTAAGAAGCAAAATGAGCTTATAGCAGAGAAAGTGTTTCTGCTCCACTTACCTCCAGAAACCTTTAATGCTAACTCAATTATCAATATAATTGTGGTGCAGAACACACAAACAGAAAGCTATACGAGACTCCACAGGCAATGCTTTGAACAAGTTGAAAAGCAAAGAGGGCAGTACCAAGGTTGTACTGTTGTGCATTAGAAGGAAGAAGGCCACTTGAAAAGTATGAAATAATTCAGTATAAAATGCTTAATTTGGTTAAGAAAGATTTTTCCACATTTTATTTGCCTCTGTCTAGTTCAGGTTTCCTGTAATGCATTCAGGAAGAAACTGATGGCTAATGGCTCAGTCTCTGAAAAATACCTTCTACTTCTCTCTTTCCCAGCTCCACAATGACAGAGGGAAGGTGTCAGGTGCTGGCAACTAGAATACAAGGGGTACAGCAGTGAATAGATTGGCAGATGAAGGTAGGACGCGAATGGAGATAGCAGCAACTGCTGATATGCACAAGCGTTTAAGTGGCTGGGCTTCCTAGGCAGCACAGGTTTTGTTCTATGACTAGCCTCTCCTGGGAACAAGTAGTTTGTATTATCAATATATTGGCCTTTCTGCTGATAATCTTACACCATCAAGACTATTCATTGTTGAAAGTGCAAGGACTGGGTGTAGCTCAATGAGACCAGCCTTATTTTCTCCTCCATAGCTCACACTATGTGGAGAGGAAAGCAAGCAGAGGCAAGTTAGAGCCTGCTGAAATGCTAAAGCGATGACCAAGTCTCTGTGAACAAGGCCTAGAGCCCATCCCGACCACACTGAGGCCTTCTGTACAGGTATGGCTAAAGGGCAAGGACCCCAAAAGACTGAAATAATTTCATGACACACTGCTGGAAAGGAAACTACTTCAGAACCTCACTTCAAGGGAAGTGAAGCAGGATGACACTGAAACAACTCGGTTTCAAAAATACAACACACAGAAAAGATAATGCACAAGGACAGTCTTTATCCTTTACAGAGCTCACACATTATGAAATATTGTTTTACTTGACCCTTGATGTCAATACAATGTCAAGAAAAAAAGACAGCCTCAGGTTATGGGACTGTAAAAAGTAAGACACTCCTTTTGAAAAATTGCAATTAGAGTAGACTATGGTAAAGTTATAAAAATCACTTCTATTTCAGGAAGTCATTATTATGCCTTTGAAAAGTGTTTTGGCTACTTTTGATTCTTTTATCAGTTCCTCAAAATTTCATCTTTGTGTATTTACATGCATTTACTATGATGTTTTGCTCTTAATATTTGTGCATACTTCTAATTTCTAGATAGCTCTGCTAATCTAAAGGTTTTCTGTCTCTGATTACAAATAATAGCAGCTACACACAAAGCTTCCCCTACCCAAGAATCTCAAAGCAGCATACAAGGACAAATTAATTATGTGGTGCATCTTCTCTGAAGTAAGAGTTATTATCCTCTTATAAGTGGTCCTGGACTCTCCACCCCTCTGCAACTTAATCATGAGGCTCTGCTGAAAATCTAACTGGGAAAACAGAAATTCTTCAGCTTAAGAACACCATGAAGTCTCTGAAGTTTAATTACTTCTAATGTGTAGCCTCTGACTACGTGCTGTTACTTGTAATATCCCAAGCAATTAAAAAATTCTTTTCAGGTTGAGAGAAAAAGCAAAACTGAAATGTTTCACCGTCAGTGGATGAAAAATCTTGAAGGATGGAAGAACACGATGAAGACAAGGAAAGAAACTCCTAACCAACAGAAGAATAATAATACCACAATTATCTGTAGACAAGTAACTGTCAAACAAGCCTTTATGGCTATGCAAAATACATGGCATATGGCTAAGCATGGAATCTCCATCCATATACAAAGGTTATATCTGGATAAACAGCTTCACCCATTTTAAAACTTCAAATAACAGTTTTGAATGGGTCCACATGCAAAGGTTTCCTTCATGCTTAAATTCTCTGCCCAGTGCTGCAATTATTGAGCCAATATCCAAGGCAGAAGTGAAACCAAGTTTCTGGTTCTGATGTCTTGTTGTGAAAAACTGACAAATTCCCCTTTCTCATAAGCAGTAAATTAAAGTACTTGGGTACAGCTTCACCCAGACACAACCCATTTCAACAACACTGCAGCTCTAAACACTGTCTTCTATTAAGCTTTTCACCTACTTGACTTCTTCTCTTCAAAAAACTTGAGCAGCATGAGAAAGTCCATGATTTACAAGGAGATAAAAAGCAGATCTAAATACTTTAGAGACTTAATTTTTTGAAAAAATAGGCTCATCAGTGCAGCTCCTGTTCTCTCAGCACAGATGTGTAGAGAGACAAAAGGTAGATATTATGAGTTAATTGCCTTCCTATAGGAAAGATTAGCAACTAAGAGTATAGGTTGTAAGACAAAAGACCTTAGAAGGATAATCAAGGACTACTGCTGAGATGAGGTAAGGGCCTATGGGACTTTGGAGAAGAACAGTAATTTTTGGACATCTGAAGAAGAAGTTGTCTTGAAGAACAGAAATAATTGAGGAGGTTTTGTGGATTTTTAAAATTGGTTAACTGTTTTTGTACTAAAAGTTTCAGAGCCTGGAGACAGAAACTCTGCTAGATGTACCAGCACCTAACTGCACATATCTTTTCTAACCACAGGCACCACTAACATATGAAGTGGCCAGCCAGCTGGAAAGTAGCTCTGCAGAAAAGGACCTTAAGGTCATGGGGGACAGAACCTCCCAGGCTGGATTAAGAAAACACTGCCAGTAGGTGTAGGGAGCTAATACTTTCACTATACTCAGCACCGGTGAGGTCCCACCTGGATGCTGTGGGCTCCACAGTAAAAGACCGACTGGATTCTCAATGTGACTCACAATGGGAAGGGCTCACCCTTTTGTCATCTAAAATAAGATCAAAGAGAGTACCTTTGCCACCTCTCACTCTTGTGGGATGCCAAAATCTCTTACAAGTTCACCTAGGCTGAGATTCCTCAGTGAGGCACAGACAAGGCTAAATTCTACACTCCCGATTCTGTTGAAAACCTGCTCTCTGGTGTAAAACAAGACTTGTATGAGTGCCTGCCGTATGACACAGGTGAAAGGTTAGCAAAAAGTGACCTGCAGTGCTTAACGAACATTTAGGCACAAAATTCCATTTTCAAAATAGCTGATTAAAATATCTGTTTTAGGGCAAGGAATGAAGATTGCTTTTATAATAATACTCCAGCCAGGTTTTCTTCCAACAAAGCATTTTCCCGAGGACAAACTATTACATGCATTCAAATTGTCTATCAAAATGTAACTGCTAATTAAGAAGAAAAATGACTGTGAAATTGCAATATAGGCTCCATTTAATTTTAGTGGGAATTCCAGGCCTTTACTGTCAGGAGAGTAACACCTCTCATCAGCTCTGCAGACACCAGAATGAGTCACCTCTCATCCTTTGGTTTTTCCAATTAATGATGTGGACTGTTTTCATACACTCACTAATGATTAACCATAATTGAATGTTTTGTGGGTTTATTTGGTTATACTAAGTAGAATTTAGCAGATCTGTCATAGTGCTGCAGAGATCTCCAACAACCCCTCCTGCCATTGTTTGATGCTTTTTATACAAAAGTACAGTTTAATGTTGCTGTGAACAATTTCAGTAATAAATTAGAATCGCCAGTGGGTCTGTGCCTATGCTCAGGACCAAGAAATATCACTAAATTTCTCCTTTGTTCAGTTCATGTTGGCAATTACGACAAGCAGCATGGTTGATTTATGTGTGCTATGCCATCAAAACATAGAATGAAAAACAATGACATCTGGGTTTTTTCTTCTAATACAAACTTAATAATTAATCAAAGCTATGACACACACTAAACATTGGCAAATGGCTTGAGAGTATCATGAATTTATTTTTCTCAGTGGAGTCTTTGAAAGTCTTTTAATAATCAGACCACAGGACTAATTTACATCTGTGCAGCCCACAGATAGACTTTTGACATAATAGTTTGCTACATTCATGTGCAAGGAACTTTTTTGAGGGATGATGGGGAGGGTGAAAATAACCAGTGAACAACAGTTTGAAAAACTTATCCTGCTTTCATTACAGTTTCAGATATTTAAGCTCACACTCTCAGAGTTCTACAGATTTTTAATGAAGACTGCATCATTTTCCACTATTGTGATAGGAAATTATTTAAACCCAAATAAACTACCATGCAAACAACAGATCCATCTATTAACCATCCATATTTTATTGAGGCTAATTGTTTTCTCCTATCTCAGTACTAGGTCCTGAAATATATTCAAGTTACCAATGAGTGAAAGTTTATTTTATAGGCACTGAGCAGTTTTTATTTAAATAACCCCACAACAATCTACAGGTCTATAGAACTATGGTAGCTATTTTTCTCTTTCCTTTTTGAAGGATAGCACAGTGGTTACATGTACCAGATGGTAACATTTTATGCACATTGATCTGGGCTACTTCTGAAATAGCAACTGAATGTTAACGAGGGGTAGCTGAATCGCTAAACTGCTTCTTTGTATGTCCCTATGTATTAAACATGGTTTCTTATTTTGTGACTGATGGTCTTGCTAGGACCAGGATATCACGCAGTGTGCACTTCTGTATTTAGATAACGTGAGCTGAATTTCACTGATAGAGGAAATCAGATCTCTATCAGACAACCGTGGCTTAAAACAAGACTAATCTATAACACTTCTGAAACTTCCAATGATTAATTTCATTTTTTTCAACTAACTCTTGCAGTTTGAACAGCTATGAAGGAATATGCATACTACATAAAAAGTACAAATACTACTATTTTACATACTTGCAGTGTATTGTCTTCTGGAACCAAAAATGCAGTTTTCCAGCTTATTTTACCTTACCTAGTAAACTATACCTACAATCAGACCTGGCTTTTCAGAAGGTTATTAGTTTAAATCCCCTGCAAAGAACCCATAACTCCAACTCTCAATACTGTTCTTCTATTAGGGCCAATAAGAAAAGTTCATTTAAGAGTAAATATACATAAGGGAGGAGGGAATTAGCTGCTGTACACACAACCAAGCATGTACACTGTAAATATAACTAAAAGAATGTCGAATCTTTCTATATATTGTCTGTATATTGAAATGCTTAGAAAAGAAAGATTTGAAGGAGTAACAAATTACTGACTGGATTTCATCCTCTCTGATGCAACTTTGCCCCAGCTCCATTCTCCCCTCCACACGCCCCTTAAAGTTTATCCTTCTGATACCTTTAAATAAGCCAAGTTTTTAACACAGGAATTTTGCAATGACTTGGCAACTGATGCCAAATTACTTAAAACACAATGGTATTTCCACACACTATTCTTTCTCCTTTCTTTAAACTATCCCCACCTCAGCTTAGTAGGAGCTGAATCCTTTCTAGTACCTTCAGGTTTCTGCAAGGGTTCCTTTGCTAATCTCTCCAACCTGAATTTATTAATCTTTCATCATTATTCCCTTGACTGACACCTCCCCTTCACAAAAAACCTTACCAGCTGAGTATTCTCATCTTTCCTGGCCACACTGGTTCTTATTCTCATTATCCTTTCTCAGAAGAACAAAATCTCTTTTATGATACATTTTTCCTATAAAAGTTACAAATTAAATAAAAAAAAAATCTCTGGTCTTAAATTTTGAAATTTAAAAAAATTCCCAATGAATGCCTCATAAAGGTTAAACAATCTTAAAAAATACTGACAGATGAAGCACAGAAAGAGATCAGCGTGCATAAGACAACATCTCATCTGGTTACTTCCACTGCAGTATTAGAGGTAGATTAAATTGTGTAGGATGCCACATGATACATCTGTTGCCCACTTTTTTAAAAATTAAAAAACCCCAAACTATATGTGACAATATACACTATCTGAGTCAACAATGTAGTATTTAATTTAGTTAAATCATGTCAGGAAATGCAGGTGCATAAACACTTGTATCCATGCAGCTTTTGGTGCATCGTGTTTTTACTTATATGAGCATTACAAACAAAAGGATTTTAACAGTAAAATAAAGGCTTTTCATTGCCTATTCTCACTTTATAAAGAACTAATTTCTACTTAAATCAATTAAAGATGGATCAGACCACAGTGAAAATGCACTGTAGGAAACAAAAATGCCCATTTCAGCAAAACAATTAATTCTTCTGTTCTTAATGTATCAAATCCACAATAAGAACTAGCATTCCATGTGAATCTGAAAGGCAAGTATTTCATGTACATACTTACATAGATTGATACATATCTATAGCTATAGCAAAAAGGATATGAATAACTCCTTCATCAACTCTGCAGGTGGAACTTTGCAATTGATCTTCCAGATGCACCAATTTCTCACTTATTGCTTCACATTTTTCTCCCAACTCTGCAGAAAATATGAAGAACTCCTACAGAAAGTTGAAAAAAAAAAATAAAAGCATGTTTGCTGCTGGCTGCACTTTTCTACATCAAATTTGCATCACATAAAGAGAAAATAAAATATTAGTGAGGGGATATGATGCTTTGCCTAACATTACCTAAAAGTAAATTCCCATTAGAGAGACAAAAAGCTGTTACTTTATAATAAATTGGTGATTTATATGAAATGGAATGAGTTTGTGGTCTCAGTCTATTTCCCAGTAGAAACAAGTCATGATCTTACTTTCAGCAGATGATTAAAGGGGATGTGAAGACCGAACTGCTCTCCATCTTCCCCTGTTGACTCACCACAGCAGGGGAGGTCTCATGCTGACCACACCATTTAGGTTTCCAAATTTCAAGTTGTTCATGTAAATATGATTTACACTTTTAGGTCACTTAAATATTTCAAGCAGCATCACTTTTTGTATCCCTTATAAACACAAAATGTACTTACATTTTTGAAGAAAAATCTGGCTAGAATACTTAAGGACTTTGTTCAACTGATCAAAGAAAATGCATTGAAGCCTTGGAGATTACAAAATGAAACCATGCTTTTTTACTGATTTATCATCAAATAAACAAAATTTTCAAAAATAATGGTTCTCTATTTAGAATTTATATGGAGAAATATTTCTTCCATTTTACACCAGTTTCAAAGTCCTTCCCTTAAGTTTTTTTCAGATACGCTGCACAAGAATAATTTCTTTTACATTTTTCAGTTAGTAATACTTTGAGAAACGACCTGAGTAAGCAGCAAATATGAAGAGGGAAAAAAAATTAAATCAATCTGTGCAGCTCTGAGACAAGCCTTTCCTTTCCCTCCCACGGCACCATAGTGCTGCCTACAGTGAATGACAGGGGTTATTTGTAAGGAAAAGATTATGGTGCCAAAATGGAATTCTGCTGGAGCCATGTTGGAAAAAAAAAAAATTGAGTAATTTATCAGCTGGAATCCAGAAAACTCAATTTTCTCTGGACCCAGTCTATGCACTCATCCATATGAGTGCATATATGACCATGGGGCCATATACAATTTACAGAAAGTTTTTCCTCTGCTAAAAAAAAAGAAAATGTACTTGGGGTCCTTTGCAACGATTTGCTGCTGTAAGAGCAACCACCAGTGGTTGTTTAAGAAAAATCAAGTCTTCAGTCAAAGGACTTTCAAATAAATTGTACCGATATTTGTTGGAACGCTGCCCATTGTGAGCTTTGGTGAACACATTTACCAGACCTCAGTTCTGTGCTGTCCTTTCGCTTCGCATCCCACAGTGCACAGGAGGAGTTACACGTGAGAAGAGCTGTGCTTGCTGGGACATCCTCTGTTATGGCACAGAGCTTTGACCCTCCTGCTTCCTTAGGGCCTCTGCCAGACATGGCTATCGAGCACATCGCACAGGTACGCAACCACCTGCAGCTCAAACCCTGGACGGGTGTGCTTGTTAAGAGAGGTGATGCTGCAAACACCGGCAGTTTAGACACAGAGGAGCACAACGCCAGAGTCCCTGTCTTTGTGCACAAGATCTGACATCTCCAGAGACATTACCAAACGTGAGAATCTACAGCAGCACTTCACAGAACTTACAGATGTGAAAATGGCCCACTGTTTTTAAAATGAGAACAGGGGAGGAGAAAGAAAACATTCTCCTTGCAGAAAAGAGGAACGTCCTTATCTCACGATCAGGGACAGAAGATGAGGACAAAGTCTTCCATCCAGCAGCTACATTATTACTCAGTATACCAGCAGGACTCCATGTGCTGTTATGGAGTGGGATAACCCAAGCAATTTCTATCAACAGAAAGCTCTTAGTGAATCATTCTGTGACAGTGCACGCAAGAACAGATGACAGGTGTCTAAAAGACCTTAGGTCTTAGGCTAAAAATGCCAGCAAACTGAAAAAAACTCTGAGTACTCTGAAGCCACATCTAAAACTATGACCATGTATATAGAATGATCCACCTTTGAACACTGATTTTTCTCTAACAGTAGTAAGTAGTATTTTCTCTAACATGTAAGAAAATCAGGTCTTCACATAACCGCCATTTCTAACAGCAGCTTAATTTCTCTTTAACACAGCCAAAATAGCGTAGGGATAAACTACTTCTGCATCTACATAATCCAGCTGCCTTTTTAGCTGAAATGAAAATTCCTCCAATACTTTAGACTAGCATCATCTCAAAGGAACTTAGTTGCACATGTTATGTGAAAAATGCAGAAGAATCATCACATAAATTACGATTTTCCAGAACTTCGAAATCTATATGAAAATGGAAAAAATATACACTGCTCTCAAAAATACACAATAATAATTCTAAGTATTCAAACAAATCCACAGTTTCTGCCCCCAAGACTTTGTTTGAAAAAAGTTTGATAACCCAGAGAAGTAGATAGAAAAGATTTCTCTTAGTGCCTTTTATGCCTGGTAGCATCACTGGTAACATTATTATTTGACATTTGTCTCTGTAGGCAGGGAAACCACAGTCAGTGACATACAACTATTCAGAATAGCTCCCGGTTGGAAAGTGGCACTTTACACTGATCAACAATATCTCTGAGAGGGGAGTGGACTCTGCCTCAAGCTGAACATATTAATAAAATACAACTCATCCAGGCTTGTAGGTTATGTCAGTGCTACAAGCTTCTGTAGGTCTTAAGATTTCTTTGGTTATTTTTGCACTAGCAGCACTTTTAGGAAGCAGCTAGGAGAGATTGCAGGAGTCAGGAAAGAGCTGAGATGCAATATTGCTTTATGGATTTTTCTGTAAACAGGGAATGTAGCTGGTTGGGATTTTTTTTTCCTCTAAATCCTCAAGCAGGTGAAAACAGCACAAATACGGATGTGAATTATTTTTTAAGGTGAAATTCTTCTGCCTTCTCACACAAAGTAGAAATTCTCATGCTTTCCCAGAGATGTGAGAGTCTGATGCAAAAACCAGTAAGAACAGACAATGCTCTAGATGATGCACAGCTGGAACATCAGCATATTGCCTTAAGAGTAGAGGGAATGGCTTCTGGTTTAGTCTTCTGAATTTCATTTTACTCTTTTCAAGTCGTTTTACTCACCTATGAGCAACAGCTCCTCAACGGCATTACTCAAGGAGAATGTTTGATCAGCTTTTCCAGTGCAAATACCTTCTGTGCTCTTGAATCTACTTCAATTTTATACAGAAGAATCAGTACTGTAGTAGCTAGATTAATCTAATTCTATTATGGATTAGAGTCTATATTAGAATCTTAGGTCGTTGTGCTGAAAAGCAGGATTCACAGACAGATCCTTAAAATTCATTCTTCCTACAGAGGAACTTCTGTAAAAAGGCGTTGCCTTACTTCCAAGTAGCAATTCCAATAAGATACAAGCCTTAGGAGACCTGCAGAGTCAATGCCAGATTTATTTCACCTGCACTAAATTTCCTCTCCTATAACAGTTAAAATAATTCAAAATAACACAAATAACAACTACAAAAAGTTGCCCTTGCAGACAGATACTTCTCATTATGACACAAGGTTTAGAACAGTGACCTACTGTTGGCAGAAGTGCTGCATGTTTACCCTCGACCCTTGCAGAAGTTAATGGCAATTGTCAGCACTTGAAACTCCAGAACATCAGGCCAGGGCATCTCTTAAATAATTTCTAGAAACAAAACACAACCATCCATGTGTTTGTCCTGCTTGAGCAGATGCTTCAGTCACATGCAGGCTAAGTGCACATGCCCCCAGATAAGGAGCTACACAGCCATGAGGTGTCCAAAGTGCAGGTGGAGGAAGCATTCGTTCGTGCTCTGCATCCCAGATTTCCTGCCCCATATGCATTGTTCTGGGCAGAACAATTGTAGATGTGGAAGGCAGTGTGGCCACTGAGAAGAGGTCTAATCCCTGAGTTTGAAAATAATGCATGTTACTTATGACCAACACCATCACGGCAAGGTTGACCAGGAAGCAACCAGGGACCACTAAAGCCCACTCTGTGACTTGCAGTGTGACCAAGCCTACTTTGACTGTCCTCAGCTGGTGTCTGTATACATGGTTCTTAGCAGCTGACAAGGGATTTGGTGGTTCTGGTGGCAGGGTACTGGCTCCAGGGCTAAACTGCCCTTGCCATGAGCAAGTGTTCCTCCTGCAAACTTCTCTTGCTACAAACCAAGATGGTTACATTTCCTTTTACCCTTAAAAAGCATACACCGATAACTACTAGTTGTCCTATTTATCATTATGATTTATGTGGTTGAAGATTTTGCCTTTCAACCAGACTAGGATTTCTAAACCTTTTATTTCTATTCCTTTCCTTCTTTTCTTTACTGTGTTCCTGTCTCCTACAGAGTGAGGTGTCCAAACCAGTGCGATAGTCCTCTGGAGGCTTTGGCATTCTCAGCTAAGCACAGTAATTATTTCTGTCTTACAACTGACATTCCCATTAATGAGGCTGCAAGTGACATTTGCCCTTTCTTCCAGCTCAAAGAAGGTAATGAACCCCACTATATTTGTAGTCCACTATAACCCTAGATTCTTCTCCTGCAGTATTGTCATCTTAGTAGCTATTTACCATCGGTATACATAAATCAGACTCTTTTTCTCCGTCATGTGTAATTTGCACCTGTCTTTTAACATATCTCTTTTTATTGATTTCAGGCTATTCTTTCAATCTATCAGGAGCATTTGGAATTCTAATCCTAATTGAAATTATGTTGACTGGCACATAAACTCCTGGCCTACCTGCTTTCTAAAGGCAAATACCACATCTGCCTTTTACCGATCCCCTGGGACTTCAAGCTTCCTCTAGGAGTTTTCAAAGAAGCTTGTTAATGGTTTGGAGATTGTTTTTCTTGGCTCCTATGCACTCCGAAAAAATTTCATCAGTCTAGCCTGACTTGAGTACATCTCATTTGCCTTAGGATCCTTTACTGTGTTTGTCTCTTGCTATCTGGTAGTAAATACCAAGAGCACTACATATTTGGACATAGCTTATCATTTTTAGAAAGACCAAAAGTAATAAAAAAATAAAGAATAAAAATATAATTCTGATCTTATTTCTTTTCTCATTCACCTTTCTTATTAGAAGACACACATGCTTCCTTTCACCTATCTCTTACACACAACCTAAACTCCTTGACATTTCACATCTTCTGTTTACAGTAACTTAGTGTGCTTAGTGGTCTTGCTGCCTTCACTCTTACATGCTAAGTATTCTTTTAGAGTCATTCTTAGGAACGTTTTTGTCCTTCCTTTTCAACTCTCATTTGAGCTATTGAAAAGCTGCTGACATAGATACGTAGTCTGTGACTCTGCTTGCTCTTTTTTACACCAAAATAAGATGGTGCTGTACTGTAAACGGGATGTCTTCAGGACAGTACCGAAGAAAATCTGCTGGTTCCTCCTCATACAGAGCTTGTCCCATGTCCATGTAAACTAACTTGTTGCTTCTTCCCTGATTTTGTTTAGGTGAGTTTTTCTTTCATGGAGGTAGCTATCCACCTTTTCTTAGAAAAGGGATCAAGGTTGTTTCCCAGTTACTCTTGCTCTTGCTTGTCACCTTCCACTTACAGACCGCTAGCTCGTTCCATCAGCCTGTTTATGTATATTTGGGAGACTTCAGCACTACAACACACTCCCTACTATCTCATATGCAACAATTCAGGCATAAAGCTCTCCAGACAGCTGTTTTGCAACTGTGGCCTACCTCCTTCCCACAATCACACACTTTTCCCACATTTCCTTTGCTTGCACTGATCCCCTTCCCTCTGCCACAGGGATACAACACATGGCAGTATGAAATGACTCATCAGAATTACAGTGCAATGTTGGCAATTGTTCCCTTCATTTATCTTCCATTACAGCTATGGAGAATTGTCCTTGGAAAAGCATCTATGCAGGAATAGAGTTTTTCACTGCCTTCCAGCACCCTGCTGTAGGCTGACAGCAGTCTTCCCATTCTCATCCCTAGTAGACTGAAGATCTTCCCCAACTGCAGATTTCCTAAAACAAGAGCACACTACTGCACTGGCTTATTTAATTAAACTGGGACAATTCCAGTTCCTGCTGTGGGAGGATAAGGCTATTTACTGACTTACCAATAAAAATTCACAGTGGGTCAGGACTTCGAAAAGGAAACAAAAGCACCAAACTGTTTTCCAATATCAACACCCTGCTGTGCAAGGAGTCAGCACAGTTGGGGATCATTTAGAGGTGGTTCCTAGTATTCCCTCCCATCTCTGCTCCTGAGTCACTAGGATGAAGCAATCTGGAATGACTAACTGGGTGCTCTCCTGCAGACAGTGGGGAGACTCACAAGAAAGGATTAGGGGACCAGAGCATAAAAGGAACATTTAGGCAAAGCCTTGACATGGTACAGGATGCTGACAGTTTCACAAAGCTTTTATAAATCTGTCTACGAGTCAACACCAATCCATCTCTGGCAGTGTGGTAGAGGCTTTCTAGCATATTTCCATTTTCTTTATTTGTATCATTGCTTTCTATTATCTTTATACACTATTTTCCCCCCTCAAAACTTCGAAAGAGCAAAGTTGCTCCACTTCTGAGGACTCTAAGATATTAAGCTCTTGGAGAATACTTTTACAGTGGCAGCCCTGTGAGCTCTGGTGCCCTCAGTATTTTGCCCTGATGGAAGTAAGGCTTTTTCCTACCTTTATCCCGTGGGACCGCCTCCCCTATTTCATGTCATCTGTGAACACAAGCACCTGAACAGTTTTGCTTTAATTCATAGCCAAGTTCATTGATCAGAAAGGCCATTTGCATTTTCTGCAAAGTTCACCTTCCTTCGCAAGGCTTCCCTGTTTTTATTTATGCTGAACTCACACCCAGCCAAGCAGTCTGTCCTAGGCGTGCTCTCATGTCACATTCTCCCCAAACACAAGGTCAACAATCTGAATTTGGTCTTGCAATATACTTGTATCTTTCCTACAGAATTCCAGCCAAACCAGTCTTTGGACTCACTGGTGGGAATCTAAAGAAATGCCTCATCTGAATAGTTATCCTAAACTGCAGTATTGGCTGAGTACTTGTCACTTGTACTTGACAGGTGCATGTATGCTATTTTGGAAGGTGAACTGGGGGTTACTTGTTCATGTAATTTATTTGCTGGCTGGACACAGTGCTTGGATATTAAATTTCCTTTTTAAGCAAGTTGCAACCCAAGGTATACTGATGTAAAAATGGGCCAAACTAAAACAGTACAGCTATTAGAAACAGTATAACTCTTCCTACACATATATTACCTAAACTCTTAGTTTGTAAGTAGGTGGATTTTGGTATGTAAGCAGATTTTTCTCACAAGGAAATGCATCTAATGTTACTTAATTATCCCAGCCTTCTTAAATACATGGACTAGGATGTGACATATATTTGTTTATGAAAATAATGCAAAATTACAAACATCCAGTATTTTTATTTAGATGAAATTCCTATTACCCTGTATTCTGCCACAGTCTGCATGCTTTTATACTTCAAAAGTAAATTGAAAGGTATTTTTAATGGTACACAAGAAAACAGGCTAAGCATCATGATTTTGTTCCATTCCTAAGCATCAAGACAGTGCTACAGTAAGGCTGGTTAAATATTATTGATCCTACCTTTCCCAAACACATTCTGTTTGTTGGTATGTGATAAAAATATTAGCACAGGATTTAACTAAAAACTCCCTGAAATACTCATAAACTTTGCCCAGCAACTTTGGTATTATTTTCAATGGGAAAAAAAAAAAAAAAAAAAAAGAAAAAAGGAATGGGCCCACTCTCATTGTGATTGTGTTGCTTTCCTAAGTGCTCACACGCTCTCTAGCAATTTTAACCCCAAGGTAACTCTACAAAAACTAGTGTCATTAATTCTAATTGAGACAAAGAAAAGTCTGTACAATCCCACCACTTTATATTGCCTAGGAAACACTTACCTCAGATAAATGACCCTCTGTTCCAAATGAAATGTCTTCCATAACCTGTTAGAGACAAATTATTAAGTATATAGTAGATACATGCTATATAAACAGTACAATTTCAATATAACTTATAAAAACCATATAGCACAATAAAATTTATATAAGCTGAACAACTGGATCAATTTGCTCCACATGCATGAAAGATTTAAACTGCATTTGTAATGGAGCAGTGGCAGCCACCCAATCTTTAAAACTGCATTTGAATACATTTTATTACAGCCTGTCTTTGGCTTCTCAGTTAAAATGCACAAGGAATACTGCCTCTAAAACAGAAGGACTAACTATAGACTGAAACAAACTTTTCTGTGAAGCTTTTGAAGATCTGTATACCATTCAAGAGTCTACAGAAGTATTTTTGGCATAAACCCTGTACATGATTTTGCTCAGGAGAAATGAGAGACCCCACTGATGTTTTCTATTGGTAACATGTGCTAACTATAGTCAGTTCCTCTTTTATTTCATCTGTGAAGTCTGTAAGAAATTAGCCATTGATTGGTCGAGGAACGAAGAAATTTGATGTTAACATTACTGGAAAATCATTAATACTTATCACATATTACAGTATTGATAATCTTTATATAAACTGAGATAAGCATGTTGCTTTGGTAGGGCGGTACTTGGTATCAGAGGTAGGTACACAAACACATTAAAAAGTGCAAAATCATTAATCTACCATAAACTCATCATTGTTACTGGATACTATTTTCAGTAATCAATCTGAAAAAAAGGTTGCTCAGATTTCTTTTACCTGTAATATAAATTTTCTGATTATATTTTTCCTGCAAAATACACGTAAGCTTTAGGCCTACTGCAATGCTACAACCCCCTAGCTCAAGAGAATTTCACTACATCACAGTATCAGATGCAACTGAGGGGCATCGTGCTGCACAACTATGCATGTGAATGTACAGTGATGATCTGACCACTGTGTACAAGCCAGTTGCCTGCTGTTACTGAAATCCTTTCCAGCTTGGATCAATACAAAAAACACAAAAATGCTGAATTTCAGTAGTGCTTAATATTGACATTTAAAACTAAGATTAAATTTTAAGTTTCCAAACTGTTTTCGAAGCTTCACAAATACAGAATTTAATTAAAACTCAAATGAATGCACAGTTTGTTTAGTTTTTGAAAGGCTTTGTCCTTTACATATTGCACATTTACCTCCTGGACCACAAGCTATCTCAATGCACAGCAATGAATTACAGCCTGCTCACAAAAGCTTTCTTGGTGCTTGCTATCACTAAATTCTGAAAAATGTTGTATTATGTCCCGTGATAGCTTCTTTTTAATGAGAAACACCACAGTAAATATTACTATTTTTTCACAGTTGTTCATTGGTAGCACTTAGAACACTCAGTACATTTTAAAAAGTAATTACATGAAGGCTTTACAATCATAGAAAATCTTCCCAACACCAGCATGATCTTGAAAAGACCCCAAAGCATCATCCCAGATCTTAAAAATTAAGCATGCAGAGATGAAGAAAAGATAGCAGCCCTTACCCTTATCCCTGGTCTCTACTCTTTTATGATGAAAAAGGGAGAAGTGATCTACAAAGAATTCTCTGGGGAAACTACCAAAAATGCTGACTTACAAAAGGTAAAACTACTGAATTTCGGATTTTACCTTGTAACTTTAATCACCTCAATTTTCTTGAAATCTAGTAGGTGTTTCTTTCCTTCATAGTGATTAAGAGGGAGCACTGCACAGCATGCCAGAGAGCAGAAGAAGAAGAAAAAAGGATAGGTCAGGAACTCAAGCCTGCAGGTGCACACATACCCATGTTCATCAAGTTACTTGCTGTTAGGAAGGTCCCAGCACACACACATCTCTCAGTTTATTAGTTATCATTGGAGTTTCTGCTGTTATAAAAAGCTTTTGCTTACATGTACGTTATCAACAAGCAAAAAATAAAGCAAGTTATCATAAGGAGAGAAACAAGCAGGTATTGTCTGAAGAAAAATGAAATGCTACTGTATATTTTAGAAATCATAGAGATATGTATCTACCTATGTAGTAATGATCATAGCAGTTTCCACCTCACTCACATATCACCCAGGCAAAATAATTTGCAGTCAGTTTAGAAGTATGGAACATTTCTGGGATGAAAACTAGAACCTATCTTTAATTCCTCAGAGACTTGGGAAAAAAGTCAAGCCCAAATAGTCACAAAAAGACAAACTACAGCTGCAATGATAGGGTACCTAATTTCATCAATAGAGCTACCAGCTGGAAAGTATATTCTTATATGAAAATTCAATAATCTATATCAAATAAATTAGACAAGCTGACTTTCACATGACTGAGGGTAGTAATATTGTCTATAACTTTGCTTCAGAATTTTTTTAATACTATAGTCTAATGAGTTGTCTGTAACTGATGAGAAATACATCTTATTTTTAAGTAACTCAGGGTGTTTCACAGGATGATTTTTGCTGACCCCACTTTATTCAGTTCTGACCAAGACATTAGTAATGATGCTTCAACAAGCTGAGCTGTAAAAGCACGGGATTGTCTTCCCTGGTTAACAGTCAGTGTTATAAAGGAACCCTAATTTACGGAATTATTTTGGGATGTCAGTCTACCACATAAAAACTGGAGAAAAAAAATCAGCAGTCTTAGAAAACACAGTTATGAAAACTATAAAATAACTGTTGACAGTTAATAAACCTGTGCTCATATGACAGTAGAATATGTAACTCTCAAAGAATTTATACGTTACATATTTTTAAACCAGAACATGTAATATTTTATGATCTAGTGGGGATATTTAATTAAAAATGATACATGGCCCTTCTGCAAAGCAGTGTCTGAGGATCTAAGTACAGGGCTCTTTCGATTCATCTATTTTGCTTTTCTTATAATTGTTATGTCTCTTACTTGGTTTTTTGCTTTCTAATGAAACATATACAGTAAGATAGAGTTTTATGCAAGAACACTGTTTATAGTACACATCAACAAAACCAATATCCACCCAACACTAACGTTTAGCTAGATATGACACAATATATAACTGGAGAGCTTCATTTATAGCATTTCACTGCAAAGCAAATCAATCACCTGGGAATGAAATGTGCCCTCCAACGCATATTTGTACGTATGCTATCACTATAGCCTTTCCTATGGTGTTTTGAAGTAGGAAATTCAGTACCCTCTAAATACAAAGAACATCACTTTTTCCTTCTACTTCAGTGACCAACGGTGCTCTCTAGAAATTCCCCAATGGGGAACAGAGGTTGTGACACAGCTGAAGAGATTAGTCATTTCTCCTAGTTTTGGCCAGGACAGGGTTAATTTTTTACAGTAGCCAGGAAGAGAGCATGGCCAGACCCTAATTACTGGTCATCCAATACCATCTCAGGGCTGGAGTAAGGGACTCGCTCTCTTGTTTTCTGGGGGAGGGGAAGATAGGTGTGGTGGGGAAGAGCGAGTTGGTATTTTGTTGTTTTTAACGTATAGATTATCAATAATAAAAGGTATAAGACAAAGAAACAATGTTGCTGTTACTGTTCCTTATCTCAACTGGTAATTTTCACCTTTTTGGACCTCCAATTCTCAACCTCAGCCCCAGAACAGGAAGGGTGAAGGGGTTAGGGGGGAAGGAGCTAGTGAGCACCTTCCAGTTTGGGGGAGTCTCATTTGGGGAGGGGCACTAAACTGGGGAGTGCCATTCCTAAACCATGACATTATTCTAGAAACATGGCAACCAAAGCAAGCTACTCCTCTCACAGAGACACCAGAGGCTTGTTAACTAATATCAAACCAAGTATTTTGACAAATTCATGCTTCTCTCTTAGATATTCTCACTTGCTTATAAATGGCTATAAAAAGGTTCCCTACTAATGGACAACGGTAAGGTTTTCCATAGAAGTCCTATGTAATGGCTAAATTTAGAGAATAAGCACCACACCACTGTTTTTGGTGAGGTCTTTTTGCCACAAATACTAAATTAATTTTTAAATAAAATAATACACTACTACATAATGGAGCACTTGGTTGAAAAACAAACCACTTCTGAAACATTTAAGTCCATTTACAAATCAAGTTAGCATGATTTGTGTCAGAGTTTTTTGTTTGCTTTTATATTCTGCCTTGTGATGAACTAATAAGAGATGTTAGGGATGTTATTCTGCTATAGCTCTTCTCTAAATGTTTAGATGCTGCCTGTCAATCCTACTGACATCCTATCAGTTTTATAACCTAAAGCATTCTTTTCTGGGTAAAACTTCAACGCCCCACAACAAAGAAAAAAATCTCAGCTTCTAAAAGTATAACAGCAGGCAGCCCAGACCTAATTCCAGAGCCAGAATACAGTCAATATGTTGGAGGGGTTTATGGTTGCAATGGGTTGCAGTCATCACTGATGCATAACTTTGCCTCAATGGTCAAAGCTGCAGGCAGCACCAAACCAGTAGAAAGCTGATTGAGTAAGTCATGATAAAACAGAGCTCTGTTGCTCAACTCCATCTGAAAGTTGGATAACACATGACCAGTCTCATACCAGCAAAACTGCTGCATTTTTTTCTTTCATCAGTCATAGGAGTGCTGTGGAAACAGATGGAGGAGTACATCCACAAAGCCTTCCCTGAAGGACATTTTCCTGTTTACACATCAGCTTCTGAATGATTTTGGCACATTCTCAAAATGGAGTTTATTCAGGATGCCGGGATAGGCCAGATCCCAGGCAAAGACATTTATACCACAAAGTTTAAGAAGCTAGATGAAGAACTGAAGTTAGTCAGTAGTCTTCCTAAGTTCCCTCCATGGTTGATAGAGGCAGGGAGATAAAAATGGAAAAGCAAGTTCAAAAGGAGGAGTTTAATGGAAACATACACTTTCCTCTTCCATTTGAGATATGGGCAACCTATGCCTTGACTCCTGCACATCTCTCCAGAACCAGAGGTGGCCTAACTTCAGCCACCCAGATGTCTTTCTAGGACAGCAAGGTTGATTTCCAGGGAAAGGATCTGGACTTGTAGGGGTGAAATAGGTGGTAATCTACAGTACAGATCTCAAGAGTGCTACAGAAACAGTCACAAAACCCCAAACCCTCCAGACCTTTTAAGGTGCACTTTTGAAAAGGGAGCGCAATATTCCATAACCAACAGAACTCCTCATATTATGTCAGCAGACTCATCAGAAATATGATAGGGGAGGGGTACGGGTGGAATCAAAGCCACAGCTGACCATTTCTAATAAAAACACTGTCTATGTGGAGTCAGTCAGTAAACCATTTTCATTGGGAAAAGACTGAAAGAACTACTGAAGTCCAATATAAAACCAGAATTTTACTAACAAGAGGAGATTTTACAGTAGGGTAAGCATCTGCTTTCTACTAAGTCTCAGCCAGTATGAACACAAAATTAGGCATCAGATTTCAAAGCAACGCATAGTTCAATGGCTCTTAACATCAAATGCAATTAGGCACACTTTAGATTTTTGTCAACTAAATTCCGTGGTAATAAAACTAACAGCTCCTGTTGGAGGGTCTTTTTGTCACAGTGGTGCTGTTGGGTTGATGAAGCTTTTTTAACAGCTTGTTTACCTTGGCAGTAAGTTAAAAGACTATTAGGCAGTTGTACATTTTTCAGGCAGGGATGGCATTCCAGATCAGAACATGAAAACTTAAAAGAAATTTGTCAAACCTTTTAAGTTTATGATTTTTTTCTCCTTTTAGTATTTGTTGGATCCTGTAAGCCTATTAGCATCTGAGCTTGGAAGCCTTTGACCATTTCACTAAGGGAGGAAAAAATTTACTCTCTCCTCCAGATCCAAGCTAAGAAGTCAGCAGAACCAACTCCGAGTGAAACTTGTCAGTGATACGAGGAATACTGGATAATTTCAGTTAAATACTTAAGAGTTTTTCCTTTATATCCTGATGTACATTCTATATTTATTGCCTGAATAATTTCCACAGTTTAAAAAGACTGATGGTAAAAGGAAAATTGGTTGAAGGGCTTCTGAGAAGCTAATAAGCTATTTTATTTATGTCCCAGATAGGAGGCCAGATGTTAAGTTCATACTTAACCTGCCCTGCTGACCCGTCACCAAAATTCAACTCTTCCTCTCAAAAGGAAAACCAGTAGTATCACTTGAAATGCAGTGGTAAACGATTTCAGATACCTTTTTCAGCTCACTCTGTCTGTGGCAGGAAACAGTACCCCACTCAGCGCCCTTTAGAAAGTGACCTTCCTTTCTTTTTTCAGAGTCAGGTGGGCCATCAGCAGTCATCTCCATCTCCTGCATTTGGTTCTCTTCTTCCTCAAAAACACAGCAACTGGTTTCTTTCAGCTGAAACCCTTGGATCAACAGCTGACATGCCTCCAAGTCAGCTTCCCACACTCTTTGGAGCAGCTGGCTCCCGCAGCTGAAATGAAAGCCAAAAGAAAATAAAACTGCAGTTCAGGGAAAATAGTTGCTATTTCAAGTAACATTTGGGCTAACTGCTTATTATTAGACAGAAAAATAAAAACAAAAACAAACAAACAAAAAAAACCCCAACAGCGCCTCAAATACCCCCACACGGATAACGAATGCTATATCAAACTGAAAAGCAGTAAAATTATTGCCTTATTACAAAGCCAATGACATAAAACCACCTTTGTGCTAAGATGTTGTTTCCAGCTGTATGGCATACACTGGTTACATATGACTTTCTCCTGTTTGGACACAGGTCCAGGGGTCTCGTGATCATAACCTGAGCTTCCTTCATGCTACCAGATATACTTTCAATCCATTATCACCTCTCAGACATGTCAGTGTACATTACAAATACTGCTCCAAGAGTTATATTCACCTGAAGTAAATGGGAATTCTACGCATAGATAGTTTTTCAGAACAAGACACTGAATACTAACATCACACTGTTTGTAAGTGATGTGGTCACATCTCCATTTAGTACCTGTTGTCTCTAAGGAAGCAAAAGATTAGGTTGCCTACTAAAATATAGCAGATCAGTGGCAGAGCCTGGGATGGGACTCAGAAGCAATAATTCCCATGGCAATACACACTGCCAGACAGATACAAATGCTAATATCTAATAACATTTCCAATAATATTTTTTTCACAGTTCTTTTTCAAATTATATCATTTACTACATATATATAATTGTGAGCAATTTTAAGTCACTAAAAGAGGAAAAATAACCATTTGATTTTAACTTTTCAGACTAAATTAAATACCAGCTTATCTTCTATCTGAAGGAAGCATAAAGGAGCTGCACTGTTCACAAAAAATTCAATAATCTAACAAAGGTACGTTTTGAACTCCACAAATTCTACATGATGCCAAGATGTAAAAATCACACAGCAATATACAGAGAATGAGAGCAAAATTAGGAGTCAGAAGCTGAGCTACTTGATCTGTGCTTAGAGTCAGCATATATGTTTATTGAAAGCATAATGCAGCATGGGGTCCACAAATTATCTCCCCCAAGGAGTTCAGAATATCACTAATCAGAATGGGAAAAATTCTTCACTGGATTACATGTCTGTGTTCCATTCAGGTAGCATTTCACTTAGCAGGACAGAAAAATAAAATAACCCCCACTGTTTCTTTACTTGTCAGTCACAACATCATGGTTACACAATCAAAATATTTCCCCGCAGACATACATAAGCCCATTTACTTGCTTTTTGAAAATGCCTGTTTGCATCTTTATATGGCTTATTATTAAAGGTTAAAAAATTACTCTAGAGACCTAAATCACAATTTCCAGTGGATAGTTTGTTTTGGCTATTTAATTTAATGAAGAGCACTATTGACAAAATTAGGGCAGAGATGTGATGTATGCCATATTCAGAGTGGAGAAGATGAACAGCATAATGGTGCCTAGGCTGCTCTTATTCAGCCATCACTCAGCTCACTGCTCAGTGTGGTTTTGACTGTATCTAAGTTTTACATACATTTTAGTAACCAGTAATTACTGAACACAAGGCTAACAGACTGCTTTTATTTGAAGACCCTCTTTGTTTTATCATGGTATCTGTAAAACTGTGATTTATCTCGAGCTAAGATGCTAAGATGTTATGCTGAACTTTTCAACTGAAATCAGTGAATGCACATACACTTGGATACTCCAAACATATCTAAGCCAACCTATCCAAGCTCCATCTTTTAGTCTGTATTTTGGAATTCAGTGCCTTGAAGCATTTTTCAAACACACTTTTTGAATGAAAATTACCTGAAAGCTGCAAATAGCTGACACAGACACACATACCAAATGATTATTAAAATTTGTGCTGACCCCAGCACAAAAACCTTTAGCTTTTACATCAGGTGTAAAATTAAACTCAATTGAATTCCAAAGTTTGGTTTATTCATGTTCAATCCATGCTAAAAGCACATTTGCAGTCTCCATGAAGCCTCCATTGTGGCTGTACTGAACACAGTGAGATTTTTCAGGTATGCAACTTTTCAAAATGATGGATCAAGTTTGGATCAGATTTTATATTATTCCTTTACTTACAAATATTTTATGATATATCAGCCTCTAGGTTTTATGCACCTGTTTCTTGGGACAACCTTTAAGTTTCAAACAAGCAACAAGAGCTAGGATATAGATGAAGACATTCAAAGGAACACAGTGAACATGGCATGTTATTTACAATGCAACAGTTTAATTAGTTACACAAGTAACTGATTATTCTAATTGGTGTCAAGAATACTTAGGTATCACAGCAGTATCACATTTTAAGGATTTGGAGGAGGTCAATGAAACATGTCATTAGATATACAAGATCTCCATCCCTCCATAAAGGACTCACATAAGACAGACAAGAGATGCCAGTAGAATAACACAATGGGCAAGTGATTGACACCAATGTGGTTTAACAGCTGCAGAAAAAATGTCAGTCTTTTGATACTAAAAAAAAAAAAAGTAAAAGATTGTGAGCAGTCCTGATATTGGAGGCTACGAATTAGACTTGATGGGACAGAACAGAGGGAGTCAATGGAGAAAAACAAAGTGAAATGAACAAAAGACAGAAGTGCTGACTTTGAATGAATGAGAGCAGGGCAAGGGGCAAGACTGCTTTTGTCAAGTCATGGCCAGGGAAATGGATGTCAAAGTAAGTGAGATGCAAGACTCAACATGAGTAATTTTTTAGCTGCATGGATAGCTGTGACAGGTCTTATCTCAAGGATACTGTGCAGAAAAAATCTACAAGATCAGGCCTAAGTTGACTTGAAGAATGGCTGAGACATCCACAGCAACAAAAAGTACATAGCAGAAACAATTCTGCATTAAGTCAAGTTGATGATGATTAAAGAACTGTCAGAGAAACAGAGCTGTTTATGGACAGGAGGAAATTAATATGGAACAAAGAGATTTATCCTTGAGTTCTCTTCATAAAGTGGCAATCGACATTGTAATTGCCCATGCTTTTACCAAGTCCCAGGCAGTTTTCTAGGAAGAGCCATAAGAGACCTGAGGGTAAAAGGAAACTAGAGGATATCTTCAATCTGCTTATGATGTTGGGTGAAATTCATGTCTAGAGACATACCCAGCAAGGATTCTCTCTTTGTTGAAGTCCAAAGAACATTGCCCCTCTGTCTTTTCACAAGATTCTGGGAGATATCAGTGGGGGCTCTCTCTATGGCTCTCAGCACAACATTATTCTAAAGCTATTTATAGTGCAAATTGGAACTACAAGAACATGACTTTTCTATTCAGGGCTCTGTATATATACAAAAGGCACATTCAGTTCCTGAACATTATAGTCTAAATGAAAACATGCCCATATAAAAATAGTAAAAAGATTTTATATTAAACCCATAAAAAAAAAAAAAAAAGGCCAAACCAAAACAGAATAAAGTCTCCCAAAACATCCTCAAAAGCAAATTGGAATCGACATCATTACTAGTAAACCTCATCACCTACAGTTTTCAGGAATGTCCCTTAGTGAGTGAATTGTTAAAAGTGGTTTGTAACACCCCGAGGTCAACACTGTGTCTTGATAAGATGATGTTGCTTATTTTAAGGGAAATCCCTGTAAGAACCCACACATTGAAAGCCAAGAGAGTGAGACTGAAGCTAAAAGGTTATATAGTAAGACATCTATTTAGAAACTGCATAATCAAAAACTAACTCAAGAGGTGAGATTACCCATCACTAAGAAGAGATACTCTAGACAACCTTCTTCTAACAGGTGAGCCACAATAAGGTGTGGATTCAGGAAGCCACATACTTATCTTTTCCCAATACATGGCACATATATTAACTCTACATTCACTGACCCTAAAGGCAGTTTTCTCCAACGAACAAACAAACAAAAGATGCAAATGAAATGCAACAAAAATAGGCAAAAGAACAGGGATTTTCATTATGACAATTAAAATGATTGGAAAGTTTTGAGGTTTGGAGAAAATCACAATATGAATCAAAAGACTTTGTTCTATATCCCCATTCTTTATTGAATTATTGCACAAACTAAAGAAAGTTTCTCTATATTTTAGTCACTTGCTTCTATTTATATTTTTCACCAGAGGGAAGGAATGAGCTCTTCTTACTAAACATTAGTTATGTCTTTGTTGCCTTTCTTAAGGCAATAGCCACACAGTGAACAAGGAAGGCAAGCAAAAGAAAGTATCCGGTAATAATATGTAGAGGAAAGAAGGCAACCATATTGCTTTACTGTTAGCAGAAACCCACTGTTTTATTTGGTTTATCATATTAATTCACAGTCATGGATTAATAACCCTTCTTACACTTAACAAGTATTTACTACTTCAGGAATATGCTTTGCTTCTCTCCTTCTTTAAAAAAAGGTTTCCAGCCTGATCAGTTCTCGCTCCTTCACCATGGCTGTTATATTTTAAGATGCCTGCAACCAATCTGTGGAACAAAGCAAGGACATCTGCATGTGCAGATGAGTGAGTCACATGAGGCTCTGAGGGGAAGGAGGCACATAACCTGGTTTTCCCCACCTGACTGGTGTGCAATGGTGTGCACTGATAAGGGCAAAGGTACAGCTAGGGCCCACCAGATCACAGCTCTCAGCTGATAAACTTAAAAAAGAGAAGAAAGAAGGTGTAGGAAAAAGGACAAAGAAAACCTGGACTCTGCACAAACAGCAAAACATTTTTTTCTCTCAGCTGGCACACCAGAAAGTCACCTTTTCTAAACATCGGAAATCAACACTTTTTTTTTTCTTCTTGTGAGTCTCCCTAATCCTATAAACACCTTCAATATAACCTCAATTTCACAATTCAATTCCTTGCATTGTAGCTTTCCTCTCCATTTTCCTTGGGAGCCGAAAAGCTCATGAATTGACTTCATATCATTCCAATCACATGTTTGTCCCCCAGTGAGGGAGACATTCTTCCTACTCCCTTATTTCAAAGCTCACTGATAACACTTGTTTGCTG